CGGTCCGAATTCACTGACCTCGCACTGAGCTGGTGGATTGTCGAACAGTGCCGGGCAGTGAACATCACAAATCCAACCCCGGTTCAAGTGAACTGCATCCCGGCGGTCCTGGACGGCTGTGACGTGATCGGCTGCGCAAAGACTGGCACCGGGAAGACGCTCGCCTTTGCCTTGCCGATCCTTGAAACTCTGTCCCATGATCCGTACGGTATCTACGCCTTGGTGCTGACGCCAACGCGAGAATTGGCCATTCAGATCGCCGAGCAGTTCGAGATCCTCGGGAAGCCGTTAAACCTGAAGACTTGCATAGTAGTAGGCGGTAAGCGACTGTCGATGTTGTCGGTTCCTTTTTTAGATCCTCTGCTGTTTACAGACAGCATACTCAGAAAATGTCCGTGACAACCATAAATCGTTCTGAAGTTTAAGCGGTTGTAGTCGCTGGGATGTGAACTTCAGAAAATTCTGGTTCTTTCATACGGTTTGCGACAGTGGTACATTAAGTCGGAATGAATGTCATTGCAGAGGCTGCCGAACATCTTTATAACATTTCTGTCAGAAGAACGATTAATCGGGCAGTCTGTCTTTGTCAGGGCTAAGCCATTCTGTCGCCAAAAGTCTTTCCGCGGATGTTGCAATCTAGCGTCCGAAGGTTGATGCAATGCAAATATCATTGTCTCACAAATCTCCTACAAAGAGGTACAGAAAAGGTACAAATCGATATCCTTGGATTGCAAGAAACCCTTTTGGAAAGAAAGCCATCATTCGAAGATGAGCCAATAGAGTATCGCAATATTTATTAATGCTGTGTAGGAGGGAGACGTTTCTTCCTGCTTTCACTCAGTACAGAATACAGCGGCAAAAAAGTTACCATGTGATTTCTACAGAAAGCGAGAGACAGCACTTTATGGCAGGAAAATCCAAAAACTAGATGAGGTATTACCCCCTGATTTATGTATGGCAAAGTTATTGCTTTAAGATGAAGTTCGCCGTGTAGCGGAAATCGTTGTTAGATCTGTGTGAAACGGATGGATGTAATGTTCTGCAATATCCGTTTAGTAAAAGAAACAGAACGTCCATCAGCAGTCGGTAGAATGATAGTCTTAATAATGATACTGTATATTTCATCCAGCGCACATCGCGATAGCTGTAACATATTGCTTCCTATCTCAACAGCATAAAATGTACCGCAGAAGCGTAAATGAGAGTCGTCATACATCACTTTGTTGATGTCAGTTTGGTGAATTGATTCGGCCCCGTCCTGTGGCTGCAACTTTTTACCACTGTATTCACTAGATGTTCTATCTCAGCTTTGATTTTACTCATCATACTGTGTGTCAGTAAAAAGATCTCCATGAACACAGTACGAAGAACGAAACCCCCTGCTACATAATAACCATCTGATGCCCTATCTGCTCCTTAGCAATCTTTCTTGCGGGTTTACCATGACAGACGACGAGATTGTGTTACTCTGCAAGCGAGTGGTCGTCTTGCATGGTAAATGTCTAGCTTTCAGATGTTTATCTGTTTTAACCTTGTAAAATCCACCTGTGTTTAGGACAAAATAT